CTGAGCTTGGCAACTTACGGTATTTGAAGAGACAGAGATTAGAGTTTAGGGAAACTTAGGTACCCAGTATTTGCAGGTGGAACATTGGAAACGAAGGAGCTAGCCAGAGACAGGTGCCTTGGTCCACACGGGGGTCCTTTGACTCTCTGAGTACAAACGGTGTATGCATCAAGTGAGACTCCATGAAGCCAGGCAAAGACAAGCCATCTGTGAAAGAAAAGCTATCAGGGAGCTTCTCCCCAGAGGCTGGGAGATACTGGAATTCTGACTTGCAGAGTCGAGAAACTTCATTGACTATCTGGGACAATTCAGAGCAGGGTCATATCTTAATAGTACAGCTATATTGTCTTTAGATTAAGGCTACTTGAGACTCACCTTGTTTGGTAGAGAGCCAGGAGAATGAGAGAAGCCATCGAGCGACAATGGACTGAAACATACCAGAGATCATGGAAACGGTGCCGGACTGGAGCATGAGAAATTTCTCTTAGAAGGATCAGCACCATGCTGGTCCCTATGAGGCAGAGGTTGAAGATGTCCCCATGACCCCAACTTTTCTAAGCTGCGTGCCACTCCATCTACGCTAACATCAGTGACTTCTCCTTGCCCTCAGTCCCTCCCTCGGATCTCAGGTTCTATACCTTGGTGCAGTGTCTCATAGAACTCAGAAGCCATCAAGGAAATAGCTCAAGTCCCAGATCTGTGGGGCAGGTGTCAGTCTTGAGGCCTCTCCCAACTCATGTGATTTCAGGGGCTGACAAGTTGACAGGTCTGATGATGAGTTGCTAGCTCATTAGGCTGTGGAAGTTTGGGGGATCGGCTTAGATGATACACTGTTGGCTCAAGTCCCAAGAACCAGTGTTCTGATGATGCAGGATCCAGAGCAGGAGAGTGCTTTACCAGAGCATTCATTTATTGCATGCATCCCAGGCCTTCGAGGAAACGCTCCTGAGTTGAGCAAAGAGACACAAGGGTGTGCTGGGTGGTGACTGGGGTTATGAGGGACTCGAGATGCACCCCACCCTAACCCGGCCTTATGAACACAATGGACAACTCGCCCCCAAGTGGGATCATAACCATAGCAGGGGGGCTTAGATCTGCAGCATATCACCAAGTGGAGGACCATGGCTAAAGGCCCCATTGAGGAATTCAGTGTACTGCAACTGGATCTTTTGTTCTGTTGTCATGACTTGGGGCCCACAGCAACGAACGAACAACAACAACAACAGATTCACCCTGAAAAGAGCTACCAAAAGACGCCAAAGGACCAACTGATCTTTAGGTAACTTAAAAAGATTGAAATTATACAAATTCTGTTTTCTAGTCCCAACAGAATTAATTATATTAGACATAAAAAATGAAACGATATTAAGAATATCCCCAGATATCTGGAAATTAAGCAACTTGTGAATCCAAGGGTAAATCACAGGAACAAAAAAAAATTTTTTTTTTAAGATCAATTTATTGGGGCTCATACAATTCATCACAATACATAGATCAATTGTGTAAAGCACATCTATACATTTGTTGCCCTCATCATTTCCAAAATTTGCTTGCCTCTTGGGTTCCCGGAATCAGCTCATTTTCCTTTTCCCCCCCTCCCCCTCCCGGAACAAAATATTTTAACCGGAATGGTCATGAAAACGCGCCGTATCGGCAACTTGAGAAGGACAGGTAGACATTGCCTGGAGGAAACTTTGAACTTTGATTGTTGCATCAGAAAAAGAGGTTCATAACAGTGACCACAGACGTCATCACATGAAAAGGAGCAAATGATTGGAAGAAAGAACATCGTGAATCTGAGAGCAGAAGTCAGTGAACTGAAAAATGGACAAACGGTAGAGAAAACGCAAAGCAACCAAAACTCATTCTTGAAAAAGATAGCACAGCTGATACATTCTAAGCAAGAAGAATTAGAGAAGAGGAAGAATGAATTTTTAATCTTCGGAATGAAGAGAGGATATCACTGTCATCCTACGGATGTTAAAGGGATGATAAAGAAATGTCTTGAACAATTTTATGTTAATAAGTTTCACAACTTAGGTGAAATTGTCAAATTCCTCAAGAGACACTATTTCGTATGTGTTATCTACATAAGGCTTGTACTTGGAAGGTATAAAGAACACTCACAGCTCAATAATAATAAGATCACCCAATTTTAAAATGAGAAAGGGTTTGAGCAAACACTTTACAAAACAAGGTGTATCAAGGATCAATAAGCACACAAAAGGATGCTTAAGATCTAATCTGGAAGACACGGATTCAAGCCATCATGTGTTTGCACCCAAATGTGTATAAAAAGGCTGTGTTGGTGAAGAGGAGGAACCAGGGAAGCTGCCATACCTTGTTAGTGGAAGTCCACGCACACTATGGAACACAGTCTGCAAATTTCTTGTAAATTTAAACATGTACTTATTCTATGACCCAGCAATTCCACTCCTAGTCATTCACCAGGACAAATGAAAGCATGCATCTATGCAAAGACGTGTATGTGAATGTTCATGGCGGCATTATTTACCCTAGCCCGAATGCTCATCAACAGCAGACTGGATGAGCACATTGCAATCTATTCAGACACTACAATACTAATCAGTGTACTTAGAGTACAAACTACTGATATACCTATATAGTAACACGAGTGACTCCCAGAAACACGCTGCCCTCAAGAATTGGCACAAGGCAGTGCATATTGTGCGATTCCATTTACATGGAATTCTAGAGAAGGCAAACCACATCTAACAACAGAAAGTAGACCAGAATGGAAACTGACTGCAGATGCACAAGAGGAGACATTTTAGAATGACAGATATTCCCTACCTTGGTTGTTGGTTATTATGGTATGGAACTTCCTGTATGGCAATTTCACATGCATATCCATTTATATAAATGATGCCTCAATCAGAGTAGATTACTTGATTAAGGGATTGAGCTAGTTGGGGTCAGACTTCCTTTCCACATTAATTGTCTCATCTCAGCCTGTGATGGGTCATCTCATCAGTCTGGGAAACTGTACATAACGGAATTCTTTCTGCCAGAAAGCCCCATTCCGGGCCACCTATGGGTGAACATTCCCCAGCTAAATTTTAGCATTGTCAGGTAGGTCTGGCCTGTTTTAAAAACACCTTGTAGGCCCGTTATTCAATGAATACGCTTGACTTTATCTAAGCGGTGGTATTTGGGGGTAGTGGCGGTGTAGGCGTTGTGACCACTCTTCAGGCACATGTCCTTAGGAAGAGTGACCCACGGACCGTGAGGACAGAACTCTCTAGGTGACAAGATGCTGTTCAAAAAGTTGCCCCATTTAATCTATTCTTCAGGTCTTTGAAGATGGTTGCGCTTTGTGATTCACCTGCCGGAGGGAGCCCAGCTCAGGTCCCGGCCTGGAGTGTGTTTGCATTTTGCAGAGTTCCGGGGGGAGTCTGCTGTGGTGATGAAACATTCAGTCTGTCAGGTAGCCATTGAGCAGGGGTTCTAGGCCATACCCTGGGCGGAGGAGCCCGGTGGTATCGTGGGTCCCGAGTTGAGCCGCTAACGGCAAAATAGCAGTTTGAATCCACCAGCCACTCGTGGGAGAGAGGTGAGACTGCGGCTCCCTTAAAGATGTGCAGTCTCAGAAAGCCAAAGGGGCGGTTCTGCTCTGCCCGGCGGGGTCACGGTGAGGGTCCTTGTGAAGCTCGATGGCTTGGGGTTTGGTTTGGACTGGGGCTGGGCTAGAGCCTTGAGCTGGGCAGGTGCTATTCTTCTCTTTATAGACTTTTCAGATCAAGGGTAAGACAAATGATGGATAGATTGCTATAAAGGGGGTGTTGGGATGCTCTAGGAGCCAGGGACACAAAGGCACTAAGGAAGTGCCTCCCCCCTCCCAATCCCCTGTCCCCAGTGAGAGTCATTTCAGAGGAGACCTGAAGGATGAGGAGGGGCTTCACCTCATCTAGACAAAAAAGCGGAGGAGAGGTGTGAGGCGGGGGGCAGCATGTGTGAAGGCACACTGGGCTCCCCCTAGTCCTTGCCACGTGGACTGTCTGAGAAGCATTGGGGAAATGCCTGCAGGGCGAGGCTTGAGAAAGCTTCTTGCCGCCGCCGCACCCTGGACCCAAACACTCAGCCTCCCTCCAGCTCAGAGGAGAGCTGCTCCTTAGGGTCTCCCAGGCTGCAGGCCTTCCTGTGACAGACTACTGCAGCTGTCTCCTGGGAAGTGGCTGGTGGGTTTGAATGGTTGATCTCGAGGTTGACGAAGCTCAGTGCTTAGCCCGCCGCACCACCAGAGTGCCTTTCACACCCAGCAGGTGGGGGACATGAGGGTTAACAAGTGCGTTGGTTACATGTCAGGGCCTGTGGGATTACCAGGACCTGACCTTGGGGCCAGGTAGAGAGGGAATGTCCTTGAGATGCTGACCCAAAGAGCCAGAGCACAGGGAAGTGTATCATTTTCCAGAGGAGTGGGGAGTGGGGGGTGGGCTGGGAACTTCTGGACCTGGCTGAGGGCTCAGCACAGGCTGACAGTGGAAAGGCTTGCTCGGGAGAAACACCTTATTCAGGCGTGGCACCTTAGTCTGCGGAGGGGGTGGCAGCAGCAGCAACTAATTTCAGGGTTTGCTTGTCTTTGACTAGAACTAATTACTGGGTTTTCAGTGTTCCAGAAGGTTCCCTGGAGATGGAGAGCAAGGACAGACTGTCTGTGGCTCTGCTGAGTGCTGCCCGCCTGCTGGCAGTGTGGCGAAGCCTGGCAGGGATGGTGCCTGGGTTGGGAGCAGTGGGGTGGACCAAGGGTGTCACTGGGTCACAGCTAATAAGGGGTCCCGGGATCTGTCCCGGTCATTTTCCAGGTGGGAAGGCTGGCAGGCAGAGGGGAGGGGACTTGCCCAGGTCCCACCCGGCGGACGGACCTCCCCGAGCTCCTTGGATCCAGTGACCAGCCCCCCGCCCAGGCAGTCCCTCAGGGCTCGCAGGCTGTAGCCTGTGTGTCAGGAGCCCCTTCTCTGAAGCCCCTTCTCTGACTGCAGGAGACCAGCGCAGCGGTGGGGTGACCGAGGCCAGCAGCCTCCTGGGGGGCTCGCCGCGGCGGCCGTGCGGCCGGAAGGGCTCCCCCTACCACACGGGGCAGCTGCACCCGGCAGTGCGTGTGGCCGACCTGCTGCAGCACATCAACCAGATGAAGACGGCGGAGGGCTACGGCTTCAAGCAGGAGTACGAGGTGCACAGCCCCTCCTGGCACACTGCGCGGGGCCCCACCTGGCGGCTCCTCACTCTGGATCCTGACTCTGGCCACCTCAACTGCGGCTATCCCCCAGCTCCACCTCCTTAACTCTTGGTCACCTTGACCCCACCCTTCATCTCAATCCCAGACTGGCCTCCATTCCCATTCGCATCCTTATCCTGATTTGAACTCTGACCTGGAATCTCAGCTCCATCCCCACCTGAGCGCCGAGCATGACCCTTGTGCCATCCTCATCTGAGTCTGACCACCACTGACCCTGATGTTTAACCTGCCCCACCTGATGGAGAGCCTGACCCTGATCCTGAATCCTGCTCGAATGCAGACTCCAATCCTGCTCCACTTCCAGCTGGGCTCTGGCATGACCCTTGATCCTAATCTGACTCTGACTCTACCCTGACCTTTACATTCTTCCCAGCCCAAATCTGGACTTACCCATTCCCTTCCTCACGTGGTTTTAAACCTGACCTCTGGCTCATAGAGGGGAATGCAGACTGACCCATTCCCCACCCTTGGCTTGGAACCTGGCCCCTGGCTCATGAGAGGTATGCGGTGAATTTATCGCAAGCCCCTAGCTTTGGTGCTGAGCCTTGGCATGGCCCACTCCTCCAGCCCACACTGAAGGGATGGGACCCCATGAGGAGGGGTCCTCTTCCTCCACTGACGACCACGGTCCCATCTGGCAGAGCTTCTTTGATGGCTGGGATGCTACGAAGAAGAAAGAAAAGGTCAAGGGTGGACGGCAGGAGCCCATGCCTGCCTGTAAGTCCTGGGAAGGGCCCGGGGGCCCAGGTATTCCCAATGGGAAGAGGGGGGTGCAGCCTCAGTAAGCCAGTAAATTGGGGGCATTATTTTGTGCCAAGCCCCATGTGAATGTGTTCCTCTCAGTAACCCTTCAAGGTGCAGAGTATTATAACCTCCATTGTACAGCAGAGGAAACACCAAAGTCACACAGCGGATACGTGCCTGACCAGCATACAACCTCGATCCCATTTGCTCACACAACACCGGCGCTCTATCCCCCTGCTTGGCCTGCTTCCGCTGGTGCCCAGGGCCTCTGGGACCCCAGCTTCCCTGGCCCTGGCCTCCAGGAAGCCTTCCAGATGGCCCCACTTTCTGGGTTCCCCAGATTAGCCCTGCCTACTCCCATGGCCACCTGCTTGTGTCTGCAGATGACCGGCACCGTGTGAAGCTCCACCCGATGCTGGGAGACCCCAACGCCGACTACATCAACGCCAACTATATAGACGTGAGTGCCACCCCTGCCATTTCTGCTGCCACTGGCCACCCTGTGAGCTCCTGGGGTGCGTGGGATGCTGTCCTGCTCTGCTCATTCCCAGCTCACTGTCCAGGCAACCTGCCGGGGGCTACATGGGGCTCAGTGGGCTGCATCCTCAGCCTCCCTGCTCACCTCCTCCAGCCAGTGCCGGGGAGCTCGAGGAGGGGGAGGACAGAAGTGGGTCCGAGCCATCAGGGAAGGCTTCCCTCAGGCTGGATTGGCCCAGGTAGACATGGGACTTCAGGGAGACAGAAAGCAGGGGAGAGGAAGACAGGCCAGACTAGAGGTGAGGAAGGAGCCCCTTTGGGCGAGCAGCGGGGAGGCTGGAGGAGTTCCATGGCACCCCGTGAGGCTGAGGAGTAGTAGGCGGGGCCTGGAGTGTGAAGGTTTGGAATAGCAGCCTCGAGGTGAGATTTCCCCAAGGGGCTCCTGTGTTTTGATCATGATCAGATTGGTCCCTTAATCATGATTCCTGTTGGTTAATTATTAATAACAATTCCTGTTTGTTAAGCATGTACTAGGTGCTAAGCACTTTATACTCACCATCTCATTGTATGTAATTTCTCCAACCCTTCGAGGTAGCTAGTATCATGACCCGACTTTTCATACGAGAAGACGGGCTCAGAGAGGTGGAGCTACTTGGGCTGGATCACACAGTTAGTGCGTGGTGAAGAGAGGACTCACACCTCACTGATCTGTGTCTCCAAAGCTGGGCTGTCCTGCCATCCACTGAAGGCCCACTAATGAACCTGGCTGGCCCAGGGGAAGGCCGGAGGCCTGGGCTTAAGGGTCAGGCTCCCCGACCCTCTCTAGAAACCACATTTGGGAACAATTCATCACCTCTATTTGGAGCACCCATTATTTGCCAGGCATCGTGCTGGGCACTGGGGGTTCAGAAGTAGGCAACACAGACACGGCCCCTTCGTCCCTAGAACTTGTGTGTTCTAGTGGGGCGCTAGCTAACCATATACACAGATAAGATGGGCAAACACAGGCCCCAAAGGAGGGATGGCTTTCCCGATGCCAAGCCCGGGTTAGTCATGGTAGGCTGTGGGTGACTGGAGAGGGGAGGAGGGCCCCCGGGCAGGGAGCAGTGTCCACCAAGGCCTGATGGGGAGCAGGAGGAAAAGGCATGTATCTGCAGCGGGCTTAGTCGGGACTCGAGGTCAGCTCTCCTCTCCCTCTTCTTCTCCTCCTGGGGGCTAGACATGCTACCCTGGATTTCCCAGCATTCCTTGCCTTCTCCCACCCCTCCCATCCTCTCCTTTGGCCGAGGTGTGGGCCAGGCCTGGAAGACAGAGGCCTCCCCTCAGTCTTGTCAAGGTGCTCTCTCGAGGTCTCCTTGGCCCTGGCCACTCCCAGTACTGCGCCCTGCCCGCTCGCCCGTCTTGCTCTGTTCCCCTTCGCCCGTCACCCATTCTGGCCGCTCCTGTGCTCCATCCCCCTCCATCTGCCTCTGGCCTAATATCTGTCTCTTTTGCTTTGTACTGTTCCTCACTGGAATCATTAAGATTCGGATAAACCGAGAAGTAAGTATCTCTCTGCCCTCCTCCTCCTCCCGTCCGTCTGTACCTCAGACTCTCTCACAGTCTTTGGCTGTCTCTCTCTCGGTCCCTGTCCTCCCTCCCCTCCATTCGTGTGCCCAACACCGACTGTCCACTTCAGCAGCCTGGCCAGGGACCACCCAGGGCTGAAGACTCAACAGGATCCTAGTTAGAAGCCACCCTTCCTGTCCTCCACTGCCTTGAGACAGGGCAGCAGGGCCGGGGGTGGGGGGTGGGGCTGGGGCTTTCCCCATTCTACATCAGCCCTGCCACCAGCTTCGGTCACCTCCAGAGCTCCGGGAGGGCCCTCATTAGCCACACTTTTTACAGGGCTCTGGGAAGGGTTGGGTCATAGCGGAGAGTGCCTAGCTGGTCCTGACTTTACTGCTCAGAGATCAGGGTCTTTGTGGAAACAAAGCCAGCCTTGGGTCAGTCCCCCTAAAGTTAGGTTCCCTGTGGCTCAAAATGCTTTCTGACCAGTTTACTTGAAATGCAACCTTAATCACTTTGCCCTCAATTTGGCCATAATTTGAACTTACGGGGGTTTAGTCTAGTATTCTATTCTTTTTTTTCTTTTGGTAATGTGCCATCTCTTTGGCCTTTTAAAGACGCCCTGGTGGCTCTGTCCAGTAAGTTTTGGACTGCTAACGATAAGGTTGGTGGTTCAAAGCCACTAGCCACTCCTTCAGAGAAAAATGAGGCTGGCTGCCCCGGTAGAGATGTACAGCCTTGGAAACTCTATGTAGGGTTGCAATGAGTCAGAATTGACTCACTCACAATGGGTTTGGATATTTTTTGTTTTGTTTTCATTCTTTTTATGAATTTTCCATATAAAAAATATCTTAATTCCTAAGTATTGTTTAATTCTTAAGTATTCTTTCCCTAACATTTGATGGCTGAAAGATTTTTGCCCTTGTTTTGGGTGCTTTCTCTATTTTAAGGCCATCTCCATTGCTTTTGGAAACCTGATGACAAAAATGTGTGCTCGTTATAACTCTGAGACAGCACGGAGCTGCCCTGAGCACAGCGACAGGTCCCTAGGGACCCACACTGTCAGCGATGACCAGTGATCCGTGGGCTATGAACTCCCTGACCCCCCACCCCCCCACCTGCCCCGAGTGTGCGCCAACAGCGAGCTTGTAAAGTTCTCCAATCAAAAGAGAATTTGAGCTCAGGAAACACAGGGGACACCCCCAGCCTTCCTGCCCATCAGAGATGGCGAAGACAACTCCCCAGGCTGCTGACCACCCCGTTCCCATAGCACAGCTCTCACATGCGCAAGCCCCACTCCTCTGGTGTGGTGTCCGACTCTTACTCCCCTGGGAGACTGGCTTCTGAGTTCTTCGATGCCACTTGGCAAGTGTCCCTGGTTGAGCTTCAGCCGTGTCCCTGACACTTGAGATCTACTGTGGTAGGTGCCATATTTACCCCCGTTTGACAGATGGGCCAATGGAGGCTTAGCAACATTAAGTGACTTGCCCTGGCCACACGGCTCTCACTTGGCCCAGCCAGTTCTCAGACCCTGTGTTAGGTCTTGACCTTTAACTAGGTGGTTCTCTCGCTTGGGGGGCCAGCAGCATGCCCTGGCAGTTTTGCCTGCAATACAGGTGCCTGCCTCCCCCTGCTCCAGGTGCAAGCTCCTGGAATATGCTAGCAGGTAGGGGCCAGTGCCTGCTAATGCCTGTCTCCAAAGTGGGCAGGCTCGTATGATGTGGTACCTTCATTTCCAATCTGATCATTTCCTACTTTCTAATTTCCATATACTCTGTCATATAATTGGGCAGCAATACACATAGTAATTAAGAAGTTGATATCCAGCTATTGGGAGTTAACGGCTCCCAAACCTTTTATTCAAATAGGACGTTGTGATAAATTAGGTTATGGGACCACTGCACCGCAGTGTTGACAAAGAGGGAGCTATTCTCCAAGTGACCGGCAAGCAGGATTGTTGGAACCCTGCAGGAACATTCACAAGAGGGTTGAGCTTCAGACACGCTGGCTATTGGGCCCACGGATGAATTTCAGTGGCCATCCCTTCCTGAGCTACACGGATCGGTGCCTGGGTGCTGGCGCTGTGCTGGACCTGGGGCAGGCACAGTGATCTCTGGGTGCCAAGTGCGGTTCTTAGGCACCCTGGTTGAGTGGGGAAAGTCTTGTTTTCCACGCAGCAGGCCTGGGCGCAGTTGCCACTGGGTGCGCCTCGTGTCCAGTGCTGCATGGAGGCCTGCAAGCTGCTGTGATGCTGAGCAGGTTTCTGTGGAACCTCCACTCGACGGCAGACTAGGAAGAAAGGCCTGGCAACCTACTGCCGAAAATCAGCTTGTGATCTGACCTGTCACGGGGATGGCGCTGACCCGGGGAGCATTTTGCTCTGTTGCGCATGGGGTTCCCACGAGTGGGGAGGTGACACCAGGGCAGCTAGCCGCAACCACGAGCCTGCCCTCACATGTGACTGGCCCTGAAATGGGCCCTCCCCATCCTGCCCCTCTGCCTTCCTCACCTTGAAGTGGGACATGAAGCAGAGGCAATGTCTCCTCTTTTGAAGCAACTGCAGGGAGGAGTTAGGCTAGGCGTGACTGGCTCTGGGAGAGCTGAACGTTGTTTTGACCACTGTCATGGGAAGGGCACGTGGGGGCACAGCCGCGTCCGCTCCCTGCTGTCCCCAGGCTGCACAGGAAGAACAGAGGCTGTGGGAGGGCTCCAGCTGGACTGCTCACAGTTGCAGTCCCAGCTGGGAGCACAAACCAGGCCCCCCAGTCCAGCCAGACCTTTGACTCCTGGAGCCGTGTGTGCACACTGGGCGTGCAGAAGTGCTGTCTAGCACCGAGAGACACGAGGCTCCGCAGGACAGAGCAGTGACTGGCTGGGACCGGCTCCGTTTGATGTCAAGATTTGGGTTGCCCCACTCCCATAGCACCTCCCGTCCCACTCACAGGCTCTTGACATCTACACTCCTGGGGTCCTCCAGGCTACGGGCTGGCCTTTAAAGTCACAGTCATAGGAATGGCCCCAAACACTGGACACATTGCTTTTCTCCTCTCGACAGATGCAGGCAGTGCATACGTCAGTCCTCCCTGTGTTTGATAGAGGTGAAAACGGAGGCGCTAGAGAAGGGAAGGGGGGCTTGAGTTGTGAGCGTGTTGAGAACCTACACTTGAGCCAAGGGGCAGGGCCTGGTGGTCTTCTCTTGCATCAGCCCTGCAGTGCTTTATCCCCACCCTGCATTGCCTGCCTTGGTGTCCTGGGCTGCCCGCTGGGCTCTGCCCTCCCAGAGAGATGAGGTCGTGTGGGAAGACCACAGGGGTGCGTGGCACCTGGGAGGGAGCAGGGACTGGCTGGGTCCTCCTCAGCCTTTGGGCTCTGGGATGGAGGACGAAGTAGCTCTCGGACTCGCGTGGGAGACAGTGAAGGCAAAGTGCTTAATAGAGTACGGGATGTGACGTCACAGCTTCTCCAGAAAGCATTCTCTCCTGATGCTTGGCGAATCTAAAGGAGTCCCTCTGCTCATTGTTCCCAACCTGAGGCCTTCGTCTGGGCCCCACCAAGCTGTGGGGTGGGGGGTGGGGGGATGGATAGGGCAGATAGGGGGTGTTGCCCATCCTGATTGTGCCTTGGAGGCGAGAAGAGCTGACAAGACTGCATCTTGGGGTTGGGGTTGGCTGGGCCCTGGACCTTCAGTGGATAATTGTTCCCCTCTCAGCCCCAGGGGAGTCTTGTGCGCCAGCTCTACTCTGCTTCTCAGGCAGGGACTGGGAGGACCGGGTCACTCTGGTTAGGGGGTCTTGGGGATGCGGGTGGGTGGGATGCTGCTTCTGGAAGAAGCATGCTGAGGTGGGGAGTGAGGGGTGGCTGGCTCCTGGGGCCTGACCACACCCTCCTCTCCTATTCCAGGGTTACCACAGGTCAAACCACTTCATAGCCACTCAAGGTACCTCTGTGTGTGCCCACCACCCCTGTGCTGCCTGCCTTTGCCATCCGCCCTGCTTGACTCCCTGCCTGCCTGCCTGCCCATCTGTCTGTCTCTGCGTCTCTGTGTGCCCCAACTCGGGCTGGAGCTCAGCATTCGGCCTCTGCCCCTTGTGTCTCCCCAGTGCAGTCTGTCCAGCTCCTTGGTCCATCTGTCTGTCTCCCTGGTGGTGCATGCAGAGGGACTAGGCAGGTCATAGGGGTGGCTCTGCCTTGGCCTGGTGGCACTTGGACTGCCCTCTTGGAGACTTGTTCAGAGGACAGCACCTCTGGCCCTCCACCTCTGTCTCCTGGGCTCCCCTCAGGACAATTGGGGTCTCCCTACCTTGCCCTGATACTCCCCAACCCAGGGCCCTCCAGGCAGGGTTTGGGACAGGGTGGGGTGCCCAGGAAGGCCACTGCGGGGGTTCCCGAAGCTCCTGCTCTGGGCTGGCAGTGCTGGGCTGCAGGGTGTACCGGCCCTGGGTGGAGACCCTGTCTCAGGGACAAGCCCCCCTCCGTGCCCCCAGGGCCGAAGCCTGAGATGGTGTACGACTTCTGGCGCATGGTGTGGCAGGAGCGCTGTTCCAGTGTCGTCATGATCACCAAGCTGGTGGAGGTGGGCCGGGTAAGCGGGGGCACAGCGCGTGCCGTGGGGGCCTTGGCAGTGGCGGGTCGTGGTGAGCAGCCTCCTGAGGCCTGCTTGCTGCCGACTCCAGGTGAAATGCTCCCGCTACTGGCCGGAAGACTCGGACATGTATGGAGACATCACGATCACGCTGCTGAAGACAGAGACTCTTGCTGAATATGTCGTGCGCACCTTTGCCCTGGAGCGGGTGAGTCTCCGCATCACCTGCATCTCCGGAGGTGGGCAGAGAGCAACCTCCATCTCTTACATGCACGCTGCCCCAGCCCAGGTGTGAGAAGGGAGCAGGAGGGGCGAGGAGGCAGCCACGTGGTAACTGCCTGCTGGGGGACCCGTGGAGGGACGGGAAGCTGGTGCTGCCTTGGCTGACTCCTGCGTGGCTTGGTGATGGCCAAGAGGCAGTAGGGGTGATGAGGATGGAGATGGTGGCTGGCGGAGTTGGCTCCTGCTCTGTCCTGGGAAGCTCTGCAGGATCGGGGGTGGGGGTGGGGGCTGCCCATGTTGCAGCTCAGGAAGGTGAGGCTCAGCATAGCTGCATCTCTCACAACGGGCTGCCTGTGACTGGCCAGGAGTCCTGCTTTGGTTGTATCTGATCCACTCTGGAAACTCCGCTGGGGAAGAACAGTTTCTCCCCTTTCAACCAAGACCCGGAGAGTCAAAATGATCTCCCAGGGTCACACCAAAACCTCGTGGCAGGGGTGGCTATGTGTTGGGCAGTCGTGGGTCTGACTCTGGGTACTATCTGCCCGACCTCGGGTCAGTGGTTTCTCTTTGGGCCTTGCTTTCTTCCCTGGCACAGTTCCTGGGTGTCGCACTAGGGCTGCAGAGAGAGCCTAGCATGCTGTCTGTGTGCAGTCGACCCTGCCGCTAATGACTCTTTCCTCCGCCAGAGAGGCTACTCGGCCCGGCACGAGGTCCGACAGTTCCACTTCACGGCGTGGCCAGAGCACGGCGTCCCTTACCATGCTACGGGGCTGCTGGCCTTCATCCGGCGTGTGAAGGTCTCCACCCCACCCGATGCCGGGCCCATTGTCATCCACTGCAGGTGCGGGCCCTGGGAATCCCAAGGAGAAGCAGGGAAGTTGGGTTTGAAGGGGACAAGTCCTGACTCACGTTGCTTGGAGAGAGATGGCAGGAGGGAACACGTCCCCCCCTCCCCCAAACCTCCTTGGCTTTTGTACTTGGACTCTGAGGATTTCACCTTCACGTGGCCTCCAAGCCCTGTGAAGCCCATTATCTCAGATCCCAAGAAGATACTGGAGGCGGGGTAGGGGCTGGGAGGGCACCAGGTGGGCTCAAGGCCAGCACTGTTCAGTGTATTCCTGCTGCCCATTAGGTTTAGCCCGGGCCCAGGGGCACTGTGTCTCCAGCCACACTCCGGAGGCTTCCCCTTTCCGGGCCGGCTCTGCTCCCTCTGCCTTCCTCAGCTCCTTGAATGGCTTCTGTGTCCCTGTTGCCCTCTTCCTCGCTGGGCCCGCCAATCTTGACCCCGTGTCTTGTCTCGGCTCCTCCCCTTGGATTCTTATGAACTCTGAGTGCCACATGCTAGACCTCCTCCTCCCTGCCCTGCCATCCCCAAACCATCGCCTCTCCGATTTCTTGAAGCCTTTTTAAGATGCCATCTCTTCCAAAGAAAACTTGATTGATGTGCATAAAGCCAAGCACGCCAATCCTAAGTGTATATATATAGCTTAATGAATTTTCACAAACGGAACACACCTGTGAAATAAACTGTGCTCAGATCAAGAAATAGAACAGTCACAGCACCCGGAAGTCCCATGACCCCCCTCTTCAGTCTCTAACCAATCCCCCCTCCCCTCTCAGAACAACCACTATCCTAGATTGGTTTTTGAACTTTGCACAAATGCAGTTGAACAGCATGTCCCCTTGGGCTCTGACGGCTTCCCTTCACCTGTGAGCTTGTCAGCCTCATCCACATTGGATCATGTCCCGGCGGGCAGTAGCCACAATGGGCTAACCCATTCTGCTGTCGGCAGACCTGCCGGCTGTTTCCGCTTTTGGTCTATTATGGCTAGTGCTGCCAGAACGTTCTCTTGGCCAACATATGGACGCGTGTCTGTTGGGTTCGTGTGTGGGTGTGGGATGGGTGTGCGTGTGGACGTTGGGCTTCCGCAAATACGGCCGTGCAGTCTTCCAGAGTGGTGGTACTAATTCAAACACTGGTGGTCCGTGGGAGAGTCACTTTCCTGTGTCTTTGCCAACACTTGAAATCTTGGTGTCCTCTTTGCCCCACACCCTCTCCAATGCTGCTCAACCAGCGCTGAGCATGTGGCTTAGACAACCACAAACACAAAGACCCAGCCTGCTCTGGGCACTGTAAGGGAGCACCTGGCTGGAGGGAGCTCTCCCAGGGCCATCACCTTGTGACGTGTCGGACGTGGATGTGCAGGAGATTCTGGAGTAATCCAGGAGAAGAGAACTTTTTTTTTGTTGTTGTTAGTTTGAAACTAGCTTCTGTGTCATAGGCTTATCCCCCAAGTCGCTGACCTGGCCTGGGGTCACTCTTTTTTTACAGCGCTGGCACCGGCCGCACAGGCTGCTACATCGTCCTGGACGTGATGCTGGACATGGCGGAGTGTGAGGGCGTTGTGGACATTTACAACTGCGTGAAGACTCTCTGCTCCCGGCGAGTCAACATGATCCAGACCGAGGTCTGGGCCCCCAGCCTTGTCCCCATTCCCCTGCCAGGCCCTTGGTTCTGCTCAGAGGAGCTCAGAACATGTGGAGTGGGTCCCAAGGATGCCCTCAGGCTCCTCCCTTCCCTAGGGTTTCCTTTCTTCTTTCCCATCCCAGATGTGGGCTGCCAATCTCGTAGAGCCTCCCCCAACCCAGCCCCATGGTGCTCTGCTAGGTGAGGCCCAGTGGCTGTGGGCCAAGACCATGGGCTCTGGAGTCATGACCTACCCTCCTTCACTGTGAGGCCCTGGCCTGGCCTGCCAAAAGGGTGGAATGTGAGATGTGGGAATGGAAAGCATGTAGCGCAGTGCCCAGCACATAGTTCTCAGTAAATGACAGCTGTTCCTATTGGAGCAGCTGGTGCCTGGAATCTAGCTAGAAGGCTGCTTGTTGGAGTCCACCCAGAGGTGCCTCGGCCCACTACTTCTGTAAGTGACCTATCAGATTACAGCTCTTGAAGACTTGCAGGGAAGCGCTGCTCAGAAACACACAGGGTGCCTGGGAGTTGGAACACACTCAACAGCAACGTGTCTTGTTATTACCACCACTCCCCCTGACACCAGGTCCCGGAGAGTTTGCTTCAAGTAGGATTGGCCCGTTGGCCCGACCTGAAGTAACACATGGTTGGACCCTCTCTCAAAGCACCCCTGTCACAACCTTCAACCCGTTCCAGTCCCCATCCTTACCCAGAACTTCCAGTGGCTAGGCCCTCTTGGTTCCTCATAGGCTTGCCTCCCATCCTAGGAGCAGTATATTTTTATCCACGATGCAATCCTGGAAGCCTGCCTGTGTGGGGAGACCACCATCCCTGTCAGCGAGTTCAAGGCCACCTACAAGGAGATGATCCGCATTGACCCTCAGAGTAACTCCTCCCAGCTGCGGGAAGAGTTCCAGGTGTGGGATCCATGTGTGTCAATGTGTGGGTTCGTGTGTGTGGGTGTATGAGTGTGTTGTGAGATCCTCATGCAGTAGAAGACACTGAAGGACAACTAGGAGGGACCAGGTTGAGGCTACAGCTGGCAGACTGACTTGGGCTACTGAACACACCGTAGTTGTTGGCTCAGTCATCTCTATTTTCTGCAAGTTCAGTGGGAAAAAGCACTTCCAGGTCCCAGCAACTCTAATCAAAGTCTTGCACCACACTCTGATGTACCGGAGCCAGTCACTGGGGCCGTAGGGATGGACACGCTGATTGGCCCAGGCCTTGGTCACGTGCCCCAGGCCTGATTCTGGGGATGGGACCAGTTTCACCCAAGTCACTTAGATGAGGGAATGCTGGTTTTCCAGAGACACGCCCAAGAGCCATCCTCACTGGGTGGGCAGAGTCCCCAGATGTGCTTTCTGCCCCAGGGTTCCTGCTCGGGTACCCCTCTATGGAAGATGTGCGGCTCTGGGACTTGTCATGGTTGGGTGCTCATGGTCACAGCCATGCTTTCTGGTTTTTGAGCCTTGTGTGTGTGCCAGGCTCAGTGTTGGCCATCGTCTCATTTCATTCTCACGATCGTCCCATGGCCTGTCACAAGCCATTTCTATAGTTCCGGAGAGTGGAGGCAGAGAGCTACAGTAACTTACCCAGGGTGAGGCCAACGCTCAGCTTTGAGCTCCATCTAGGCTGAGCCGTTGAAGACCTTATCAAGTGAAGTTCTACCCAGACCCGCACGAGGCTGCGATGAGCTGGAACGGACTCCGGAGCTACTGCCTCATTGTGATGGTCACTGTTCCCCCAGTGCCTGGGCCAAGCAGATCCACGAAGATGCTTTCAAGTTGGGTTGTCCTGCGGTAACATATGATTGGACCCCATGGAGAAGGGGTGGGCTCCGCCCAGGTGCCAGGGGGCCTGAGTGCAGGTCATCCCTACCAGGGAGAGCTGGCCCAGGAGACAGGGAGCTGGGTCCCGCCTGCTCATTTCTCTCGGACCTCAGTTTCTCTATAAGTGTGGTCTAAGTAGCTCAGCCTAGCCCTCCATTTAGGGCTGTGAAGAGATGCAGAGAGCACTAGCTGTGACGCCCCTCCACGCCCAATCCCTCCCCTCGTAGACACTGAACTCGGTGACGCCACCGCTGGACGTGGAGGAGTGTAGCATTGCCCTGCTGCCCCGGAACCGAGACAAGAACCGCAGCATGGACGTCCTGCCGCCCGACCGCTGCCTGCCCTTCCTCATCTCCACCGACGGAGACCCCAACAACTACATTAACGCGGCCCTGACTGACGTGAGTCCTGGAGGGTGGCGCCTGGGACTCCCTGGGAAGGCCCAGGAACTGAGGGAGCAGGACAGAGGATTCTGAGGGAGAGGGAGACCACTACCCTTCTGGGGACCAAGCCCTCCACCTCAGTGACCTTTCCCCAGTGAACTCCCACTGAGGGTGGTCCAGCCGGTGCTCCCCCTTAGTCATTGCTCTCAGACTGGGAGCTGGAGTCTAGGCAGGGCTGTCTCCAGGAGTAGGTCCAGCAGAGCCTGGGAAGGATGAGGGATTCAGGGGGCTTTGGGGAGACCAGAGGGGGCGCTGTGAAGGGGCTTGGGACCTGTGGGGCCAGGGGAGCTCTTCCTGGGGCAATGAAGCTGGAACCTGTTCCAGGGTCCAGCATGCAGTGTTGCCTTATTACCTGGCCTGATTCTGGCTGGCCCTGCTCAGAGGACCCAGGAACATCTGGGAGCCCCCTACTCTGCCCCTAGTCTAGAGGGGCTAGTCTTTCACTCCTGTACCCAGTTTGGGAGCCTGGAACGGGGTCACCGGTGGTGCAGCCATGGAGTTGGCAGGAGGAGGCAAGGTGCATGTTCTGGGGACCGTCACTGAAGTCCTGCCATGTGCCGGGCACAGGTGAAACCGGGAGCCTTGTCTCCTGGCCCCTGCCTTAGGGCCAGTGAATGATCAAGCCTTTACGGAATCTCGAGCACTGGTAATTTCTACAGAAACAGCTGAGCGGAAGTCGTGCTCCCGGTGGGTGTGGTGGCAGTTTTCAGTGAGGCGGTAAGGGAGGGCCTCCCAGAGCAGGTAGCAGTCAAACAAAGACCAGAAAGCTGGGTTGCAGGGAGCGACATGCACATTTGGGGAAGACGGTCCATGTGGTGGGATCAGCAGATTTGGAGGCCCCGAGGCAGGGAGCAGCCTCTGCCCACCATGCCGGAGCTTCCCTGGCCACAAATCGGAGCATGTTTTCATGCTTGGTTCCCAGGGACCCTGGGTTTGTGCTCTAGAGGCCTGGGGGCCGCCCTGTCAGTGCAGGCCTCGGCGTGCCACCGTCTGCAGTGGGCAGCTGGAGGCAGTGCCATGCTGTGGGACCGGTCCAGCTGACTCCTGCCTTCTCTGCAGAGCTACACTCGGAGTGCGGCCTTCATTGTGACCCTGCACCCGCTGCAGAGCACCACGCCTGATTTCTGGCGGCTGGTCTACGACTACGGGTGCACTTCTATCGTCATGCTCAACCAGCTGAACCAGTCCAACTCCGCCTGGGTGAGCTGCCTGCAAGCCGGACAGGCTGCTGCTGCTCAGGGCACCAGTTGGGGTCAAGGGTACGATCCCCCAGAGTAAACCCGCCACCTCCTTGTTGTGTGACCTTTGGCAAGTCGCACTTCCTGTCCCAGAACCGTGGTGACCAGGGCCCCAGCAGGAGCTAGGTGCTGACAGGTGTAGTCGAGCCGGCCTCTGCCTGGAAGCAGATGACCAGAGGCGGTTTGCAAGGCTGACCTTTCCACTAGCAGCCAGACGCATCACCACTGCACCACCAGGGCCACTGAGCACCTGCTGGATGCTAGGGATGCTCCCCAGTTGGGAACCCCTCCAGGAGGACTTCAGGGAGGAACGTTAGGCCCAGAATGGTGAAGTGACTTCTCCAGGGTCCCCAAGTGGCTGAGGTGTGTCTCCCATTGCAGGCTGCTTAGTCCATAGCCTGTGCTCTTTCAGTCACGTGACCAGCCTGCCCCTGCTGGGATCTTTGAGGCTGAGGAAAACCCAGGCCACCTCCCTTTTAGACTGTGTGGCCTTGGAAAAGCTAATGTATCCTCCTGGGTCTCAGTTTCCTCCTCTGCCAAATGGAGGGAACCACAGGACTGGGCTAGCGACCAGGTGAGATGTGTGGTAGATGCTTAGGACGCTGCGCTGCCTGGCATGTAGTAGGCACTTGGGGCATGGCAGGGATGATGCTGATGAGGGTGACTGACTTCTGAGGTTTTTCCAGACGTTGGGACTCCTTGGAGCTTTGGCAAAGTACGGATGCCTGGCTTCCAGCAGTGTGATTGGACTCCCATGTCTCTAAGACACCGCCTCCCCCCCGCCCCCCCAGTCTCTGCATCAGGGTAGCAGGAAGGTGTGGCCACCTCCTGGTGGCATCTCCAGAAGACCTCATGAACCAGGTTCTTTATGAGCCGGCGGGCACTGAGTGGCTTCCCGCTGGGCGGGAGTGAGGGGAGCCCAGCAGTGGACAGGAGGACATGCTTTGGGGTGGAGGGAGGGACCTGAGGGACACTCACTGGCCATTGTGACTGTACACTGACTTGCTCACTCATTAACAACTTCTCCCACAGGTGGCTTTGTGCCAGGCCCTGCAGAGGGCAGTGGGGACAGGGGGAAGACACAGGGTCCAGGGGGAGCAAGTATAATAGCAGACGGTGACAACACATAGGGGGAAAGGCCACCACGGAGCTGACAGGGGCCAGAGGAGGCTGGGAGGCTTCCTGGAGGAGGTAGTGTTCAGGCTGCGAGGTGTAGCAAGAGGAGCTTTAGCTCGGTGAGGAGGTGGAGGAAGGAGAGGGAGCGAGCAGCAGGCATGGAGCTGCCTGTATGGAGGCAGAGAGAGGAAGGTAGCGCCCTCTCCTCCCAGGTTGTAGTCAGGCAGGAAGCATGTCCTGGTCTGAGAGGGAGTCTGGGACCCAGAGGGAGGAAGAGGCCGGCCCAGGCTCCACCTCTGCAACTGGGAGAACTGTGTGTGTGCTTGCACTTGTGCATGGGAGCGTGCCTGTACATGCACACTAAGGAACAACCTTGCAGCCACCTGCCGTGGGAGTCGGTGCCGTGGCCGGTGTGCTCTGTGGTGAGGGGAACCGTGGAAAAAGAAGCTCTGGATGAGTGTGGCGTGAGGGGGTGGGCCAGGGCGGGCACACTGGAGCCCAGGGCAGGTGCAAACATCTGGGGGTGGGTGTGAGCAAAGATGCACCCCCTCCGCCGGCTCTACTCAGCTCCTCTCGCTTGGTGCCGGTCCCCAGCCCTGTTTGCAGTACTGGCCAGAGCCAGGCCGGCAGCAGTATGGCCTCATGGAGGTGGAGTTTGTGTCGGGCACAGCGGATGAGGACGTGGTGGCCCGGGTCTTCCGGGTGCAGAACGTGTCTCGGGTGAGTGGTCTGCAGAGTCCCGGTGAGAGCGACGGTGGTGGTTGGGGTCGTCTTTCATGGCCTTCTCTTGAGGTCCCCACTGTCCCCCTGTCTGGGTGCTGCACCCCCAGCTGCAGGAGGGGCACCTGCTGGTGCGACACTTCCAGTTCCTGCGCTGGTCTGCATACCGGGACACGCCTGACTCCAGGAAGGCCTTCCTGCACCTGCTGGCCGAGGTGGACAGGTGGCAGGCGGAGAGTGGGGATGGACGCACTGTTGTGCACTGCCTGTGAGTGAGGGCTCTTCAGGGGGGCGGAGAAGGGCAGGGGTCAGAAGGAGAGAGCCCCCAAGTCTGGCCCCGCAGAGGACTGGGCAGCCCAGCCTGCCCTGGAGAAACCCAGCCAGCATTCAGGAAGTGTTCTCTGAGGCCTCTGACCTTACCAATTACAAAGAGCCCCAAGTCAGACTTTTTCATCCCCTGAGATGACAGTTACGTAGTAAGCCAAAGGATTTGGAATTGTTGTTCGTGCATGCAGTCTTTCCTTTATGAATTCCTCCAACCCCCTCATTCATATATACATATGCCCTCATTCATAAATTCGTCTACTCACGCCCGCCTGATGCCTCCATCACTCCTGGGCCCCAGGCTGGACCCACCGGAGCTGGGGCAGGGATCCGAGCTATAGGGGCCCTCAGAACCCGAGTGCCCCGGGAGGCCCTGTCCCTGGAGTCACAGTCTTTGTGTGTGGGCTACAGGGTGTGTGTGTGTGTGTGTGTGTGTGTGTGTGTGTGTGTGGTGTATACCCTATGGGTCAGCCACAGGGCGGGGTGGGGAGGGTGGGCGCTCTCCCCAGAACTCCAGTTCTAATTTCCACTCTGGCACGTGCTTACTGCCCAGCCGTCACCTGGTTGGTCACTGCCTTTGCCCCTCCGGCTGCTTGGGCTGGAGGGGGTGGGGGTGGGGACTGGGCCGCCTTTATCTCGCAGTCTGTGTGTTGAGCATCTGTCTTCCTAGATGCCTTAAGGAAGTCAGTCTCAGCCTTGGACTTCACCCTCTAAGATTCTGGCGCACCCTCCCTCCCTCCCCTCCCGCCCCTGATCCCCAGTCTTTGCCCTCTCCATTTTTGCTTCCTGCCTGCCCTTCTCCTCCAGGTCGTCCGCGGACCATTGGTTTGTCTCTTTCAGAAACGGGGGCGGCCGCAGTGGCACCTTCTGCGCCTGCGCCACGGTCCTGGAGATGATCCGCTGCCACAACTTGGTCGACGTCTTCTTTGCTGCCAAAACGCTTCGCAACTACAAGCCCAATATGGTGGAGACCCTGGTGAGGGCCGCTGCCCGTGCCCAGCCCCTGGCCACCCCTCTGCCTGGTCCCCACCCTGGGCTGTTGGGTTCTGGCCCTCCAGGGTCAGAGTGTTCCTCGCAGGCTCCCTTTCACTCCCCGGGCTGGCCCTCTCCCCCTCACCTAGCACTAAGGCGGACTTGGCCCCTGATTCTTGCCCCCCGCCCCCCCTCCCGCCTCTACCCCTCAGGACCAGTACCACTTTTGCTACGACGTGGCCCTGGAGTTCTTGGAGGAGCTGGAGTCCAGATAGCAGCCCCTAGCCTGGGGCACCTACTGCGTACTCAGGGCCAGGCCCACTGACCAGGACTGCCGAGGAGGACCCAGGCGTCCAGCCCTGCTTGGTCACTGTCCCCGCAGGGGAAGCATTGGAGGGACCGCCGGAAGCGTCTTGGTGCCCTTCCACTGTGGGCAGGGCCTTTTGTCATTACCCGAGGGCAGGCTGTGGGCCAGCACGCCGCTCCAGCAAGGATGCAGCCTGCCCCACCCCCACGGTGTCCTGTGATCGACGGGCCTGGAGGGGCCCCCAGGGAGGCAGAGCGGCCAGCTTGGTGGGACCCAGGCCCGAGTCTTTGACCCCATCCCTGGCAGAGATGGGGGAGCCCTGCACAGGTGGTGCCAGGCTGAGGTGTCTGCCTGCTGGGCATGGATGGAAGATGAATTGGGGCGTGGCTTCTGTAATCCCGGTTGGCCCAGCCCCTGAGGCTCCCAGGGTATTGATCTGCTCTGCCAGCTGCATAGCCCGACTTCCCTTCCTGGGGGGCCTGCAGCTCCCTTCTCTAGCCTTGCTCCTGCCATCTGGGAGTGTCTGCTCACGACCCACCCCACCTCTGCTTCTCTGAACCAGGGTCTGGCCATCTCTGTCCAGTCCCATGTGGGACCCTTCCCGCTTGACCCACCCTCTGCAGAATGAAGCCAACGTATTCCCCACCCATAGCTTTCAGGCCTCACTGGATGACCTGCTCAGCCTGGGCCAGCGACAATCTGCAAGGCTGGACAATTCCCAGACCGCGAGCTTCCCATGGCTCTGTGAGGAGAGGGAAGTGCCGGAGGAGGGGTACAGAGAACCCGTAGAGTTTGGAGGAAGGAAGGGGTATTTTGGGGGTCAAGATCTTTGCTTTCTTGGTTTATTTTGTTGTTTTGTGATGGGTGGATGGGAAGCTCTCTTTGAAATGGGACAGGTCACATCCCCATTCCGTGCCTCAATATCCCCATCAGTAAACTGTAGCTAAGACTACTGACCTACCTCGCAGGGGGCTGTGGGGAGGCATAAGCCGATGTTTGTAAAGCGCTTTGTAAATAAACGTGCTCTCTGAATGCCGCAGAGCTGCCTTGTGTCTGACCAGCCTGACTGGTGCCCACCCCCTCCTCCTAGCTGTCCTGTGCACTGGGAGCCCCTGGGCTCTGCTCTGGCCTCAGTTCTCCTTCCATTAATGGAGGTGTGGACCAGAGCTCTGCTCAGGACCTTCCATTTCTGAGGTAGCTCCAGAGGGCCTTGCCATTGTGGCTTCCACCAGGCAGTGGCTTCAGCTTTGTATATGTGTGAGGTGCCGCCCAGTCGGTTCCCACACATAGCAACCCTGTGTCCAACTGAAGGAACCCCTGCCCATCCTGTGGCAGCCTCACACAGCCACATGCGATGACGCAGAATGCAGGAAGATCCACAGGCTGGTGGGAGCCAAGTCATGTGGATCCAGTGGTGGGGTTTCTGGCAGGTCTCAGAGTGGCTTGCCAGCAGGAAGGTGAAGGCAGAGAGGGGGGAAGGAGGTTCCCAGGACCCTCCTTATGAGAAGGTCACGCCCATAAGGAGACAGCATCAAGCTGTGACCCGATTGACAGGCTAGACTCCACACGTACACTTTTATAGATCTTAAAGTTGACATGAAATTATGTAACTACCACAATTTTGATGTTTGCCTAGACCAGTGGTTCTCAACCTTCCTCATGCCGTGACCTTTTAATACAGTTCCTCATGTTATGGTGACCCCCGAACCATAAAATTATTTTCGTTAAGACTTCAAAACTGTCACTTTGTTACTGTTATGAATCGGGCGACCCCTGTGAAAGGGTCGTTCGACCCCCAAGAGGGTCATGATCCACAGGTTGAGAACCGCCGGCCTAGACTATGATTCTGAGCCCCTAGACCCAGTGAGTGATTCCTTCAAGTTGTTCGGTTATGGCTAAGAAGTTTTCATGGATATATTTGCAGTATATATGAGGGGGCTTCAAAAAGTTCCTGGAAAACTTTCATCATCTTGTAATTCCACTTTACCATGAACTTGTTGAAATCCCTCATGCAAACACATGTAGACATATCCTACTCATAGGTGGCATTGTTTGTTTTAGGAGACAACATGTTATTTAACTAAAAGGCCTTGTGGAATAGCTTTGGCTCCCAATTTAAAGAGTGTGTCAGGGCGATAGTCTTGTGGAGTCGTCCAGTCTCAACTGGTCCAGTAAGTCTGGACTCATGAAGAATTTCAGCTCGGTTCCATATTTTTCTCTCGTTCTTTTAGCGTCTGTCTATTATGCTCCAGACCCCAGTGGTCAGTGCTGGTAGCTGGGCGCCACCTCACTCTGGGTCAGGTTCTTCTCTGAGTTTTGGTTCCCTTCCTGCTCTTTCACGCTGAACACACAGACAGAGATCATAGATCTCTTATGTGGCTCTTTGCACATTAAAGATCCCACACACTCCATGGAGCTGGCTGGCTGAAAGTGAGGAGGACTTAAATTGTGTAGCTGCCACAATTTTGATGTTTGCCTAGACTATGGTTCTGAGTCCTTAGATGAAAATTAAAGATTGCAGCCTTCAGTGTAGATTACAACTCAATGTAAAGAAAACCCAAATCCTCACAATTGGACCAATAGGTAACATCATGTTAAATGGAGACAAGGTTGAAGTTGTCCAGGATTTCATCTTGCTTAGATCCACAATCAATGCTCATGGAAGCAGCAGTCAAGAGATCAAATGACAACACGTGTTGTATCAGGTAAATCTGCTTCACAAGGCCTTTAGAGTCTTTCATCTTTGAAAAGCAAAAATGGTTTCTTTGAGGGGACCTGACCCAAGCCATGGTATTTTCAGTTGCCTTGCACGCATGTGAAAAATTGACGTTGAATAGGGACGACTGCAGACGAATTGATGCGTTTGACTTGTGTGCTGGAGGGAGAAGAATATTTAAGTACCACGGACTTCCAAGGGAACAAACAAACCTTTCTTGGAAGAAGTATGACCAGATTGTTGCTTAGAAACAAGGATGGCCAGACTTCCTCTCGCATACTTTGGAGAGACCAGTCCCTGGAAAAGGGCATCGAGCTTGGTAAAGCAGAGGCTCAGGGAGAAAGAGAAGGCCCTCCGGGAGATGGCTTACCGCCATGGCTCAAACGACAATGATGAGGATGCTCTAGGCCTGGCCAGTGTTTGCTTCTGTTGTCCACAGGGTCGCTCCGAGTCAGAACCAACTTAATGGAAGAAAACAAAACATAACAAAGCATACTGTATTGTACATGTGAATGCATACACTTATGTATACATTTATCAACATGTGTATAGATACATTTATATAGTCCCATCTGTATACTCCCATGTATCACGAGATATGTGAAGACAGAGATAATCATGTTTGGCCTTTTTCAAGCTGATATAACGGAAGAAGTAAGTTAAGGCTGGAGTTGTAATAGTGAGGGAGTCTATGGATACACTATGAACAATGTATGCAGCATCAACAGAAGATGGAAGGAATACACAGATCCACTGTATATAATTGGTTGACCTTCAATAATTTTAGGAAGTAGTACATGATCAAGAAGTAGTACATGTTCAATGGTATTGAAAAAAGAAGTTCACACGGCACGGATGGTATTAGTGACAAAAGGCCCCAGGGATTGGCCGAACAGCGACTGAGATGTGTCAGCAATCGGATGCAGCCCTTGAGGTACTCCCTCATCGATGCCAAGAAATTTAAGGCCACCTGACTGGAAGAGATACTGGTGTTCATTTCAAAGATAGGTGGGCCAGCAGAATGCAAAGATTGTCGATCATTACCATTGATAGCACATAAAAGTAAACCTTTGCTGAAGATAATTCAAACATGGCAGCTGCAGTACCTAGGGAACTGGCAGATATTCAAGCTGGCTGCAGAAGAGGATGTAGAGCAAGGGGTGTCATTGCTGATGTTAGATGGATCTTTGCTGAAAATACAGAAGACCAGAAAGATGTTTACCTGAGTTTCATTGATGATGCCAAGGCATTCAACTGTGTGGATCATGACAAACTGTGGATGACATTGCAAAGCATGAGAATCCCAGGCTACTGAATTGTAGTCATGGGCAACCTAGAAGCAGTCACTGGAATGGAACAAAGGGAGACTGAGTGGTTTGAAAAGGGAAGCAAGGTGTGGTCAGGTGTGGATCCGTTCAATCAGCATCCTGCGCAAATCACCTCAGAAGCTGGCCTATAGGAGGGCGGATGTGGCATCAGCATGGGAGGCAGGCTTGTTAACCTGCCTTATGCCGGGGTACAACTTTGCCTGCTGAAAGCGAAGCCAACTTGAAGGAAGCACTTGCTGCTATTCGAAAACTATGGCCTTGGGTGTGGATTTACAACTCAAGGGAAAGAAGCGTCTTCACAACGGGAGTAATAGACAGTCACGACAAGTGGACACAAGATTGAAGTTGCCAAGGAGTTCGTTTTACTTGGATCCGCAACCAATGCCCACAGCCATAGTAGTGAGGAAGTGAAGCGCCACAGTATATTGGGCTGGTTTGCTACACAAGCCTTTCGTAAAGTGTTAAAGAACTAAGAGATCACTTTGACAACTTAGACACACTTGACCCAAACCGTGGGATTCTCATAATGGCCTCCTTCCTGAGCAAGGAGTAAGGAGCACTGCAGAAGAAATGATGCATTTGAATTACGGTGCCGGTCAAAATCATTGAATGTACGATGGGATTCCAGACAAACAAACAAATCTGTCTTGGAAGAAGTACAGCCAGAATGATCTTTAGAAGTGAAGCTGGTGGCATGTTGTTTACCATACTTTGGACACGATATCAGGAAGGACCAGTCCCTGGAGAAGGACCACGAACTTGGTAGAGGGTCAGCTAGCGAGAGGAAGGCCCTCCATGAGATGGGCTGCCCTGTGTGCTCAAACAGCAATGGTGGTGAGAGAGAACAGGTGCAGGTAGTGTCTCCTGCTGTACCCGGGGTCCCTGTGAGCTGGGGCCGACTCCGCAGCACCTAACAGTGACGACGTGCACACATTTACATCCCTGTCCACTTGGATGTACACACACTTGTCTACAGTCCTATTCTTTAGTTGTTGCACAGTTGTGTATGTTCTAGCGCTTATCAAAAGCATCTTGTTTCCCCCTTGTATACTTTTTGATTTAAGCTGTGCACCCAGCCGCCCATATTTGCTGTTGTATTTCCCATCCCTCCAAATAACAAGTGCACTCTCTAGGAGTGCTTCCTCCCAGCAAGCCCCTGCTGGTAACCATCAGTGAAGGTTGGCTTTCGGATGTACAAGGGAGCTTCAAAACAGTACTGGAAAAAAAGAATGAAAAAAGAATGCAAGTTTCCCAGAAACTTTTTGGAGCCTTTTCAGAGGAGCTATATCTTGAGACCCCCCCAAGATCCCGAGAGCTGCCTCTCTCCTCACTGGGAGCTTGGATCAGGCTGAACCCTCCCTGCTATATATTGGGAGGCGCAGGCTTCGATGTCAGGCAGGCTGGCCCCACTCTCAGCGCGACTCCGGGCAAGTCACTTGTTTTCTGTGCACCCGGCTTCTCTGTGGGGACCACCTGTCAGGTCAGAGGAGATGGGGATGGTCAAGTACTTCGTGTGGCACCAGGGGTGTGGAACGGGCTCTGTTTACATGTGCACAGCAGAGATGGGGACAGAGGAGAGACACCCCAGTTGGGGGGACAGCCCAATCCCACAGCAGGCTTGCTCAGGGGTGGACAGAGGAGAGGATGGGTGTTAGGGACCCAAGTTACTTCTGATGTGTTACCTGGGGCAAGACCGTTGCTACTCCTCAACTTCTTGGTCCTCGGTTTCTTCATACGGAAACTGGTTGGCTTTCTGTGCGCTGTACTGATTCTACTCACACCCTGGCTGACTCTGCCTGGGTTTCTCCATTGATCAAAGGAGAGGGCCCATTCTAGTGACCTCACAATTCAGTATCCTTTCACCTGAATTCAAAATGTACTGGCCTAGGCCACAGACTGACTCCCTCACCCGGAAACGACCACTAAGCCTCATCTGATGGGTAAAGTGTAAATTATAGACACTGAGACAGATATGTTATCTCTAGCTTTTGC